CTATAGATATGATATTAAACACTAACTACAATAGTTAACTAACCTTAATATAATAATCTAATCTCCAGTTGACGTCAATGAGGTAAGGAAATGATGAGCGAATTCTACCCAACCTTGCTCTTAGCTTTGCTTTATTATTCTGCAAAATATAAGAGAAAAGAGCAAAAGAAGGGAAAAAGAAAGTGATGATTACTAATGTAACTATATCTATTAATTACATTATAAAGTGTCACTAATGCTTCAATTCTGTCAGGAGTTAGTTTACAATCCTCTAATGTAGACCTATAAGAGAGAGTAAAGAGGAATGGGGACAAAAGAAGAGAAAGGAACAAGAGGAGAGAGTCTCAAATAAATAATACACCAATAGCGTATTTGTACCTCATTCCAGTGGTATCAGTGTCAGTGCGAGCCCCTTCAATTAATAATATAATTAATGATGAGTAGCACTCCTTCAACATCCCTTGATTTATCTTTGATAATTTACCATCATCTAAAAATAACAGACAATTACTAATTACAATGTAGATGGGACTGTGCAGAATTTCCCACAGAATTTTGGCATATTAATAGCTCATTGTCAAGTTGCTCAAAAATTGGGCCAAAGACCATGCAGGGTATATTTCAACAAAATCACAAGGAGAGAATTCTCCATTTTAATTTTTTTCTGGTACATGTACATGTTTTTATGTTGTGTATCAACTTTGAATTGAATCGGATCAAATTTAGATTTTTTTATAAATTTGCTCAAAAATCAGGCTTTTGCTAAATTTCATCAAAAATCACAAGGAGAAATTTCTCCATTTTTACAATTTTTTTCTGATACATATACATGTCCTTATGCTGTGCATCAACTTGGAGCTGATCTCAATCAAATTTGGTTTTTTTAATGAATTTTTAAACTTCCTTCAAAAATTGGGCAACAACTATAGCCTTTGGTTTTTGGCTAAATTTCATCAAAAATGGCTAGGAGAGAATTCTCCATTTTAATAATTCTTTCTAATATACAGGCCCTTATAGTGTGTATCAACTTTAAGTTGTTTTCAATCAAATTTAGATTTTTAATGAATTTTTAAGCTGCTCCAAATGCAATGTACATGTAGCTCTTTGTAGAAAGCTCTGAGGCCACGAGACAAAAGGTGCGGTCAAAATAGACAAATCTCGTTAACCCTAACATTAACTTGCAACAAACACAAACATCAATGTATGATGCAGGAACAACAACAACAGATTAAACAAGAAAAAACATGATACAAACTGTGACAATATCTTCCCCGTCTGTCTCCTACCCTACCTTGTATAATGGACGGGTCAGTGTCCTCCATTATAGATTGAAGTACTAACTGAGTCAATCTGTTGAAGGACTTGTCATCTATTGAAGAAGAACCAGCCAATTGCAGTCCAGTTACTGTGCTACCTGATAACTCCATTTTGAATAGTGGGCGGGGCTGGGTCACGAGCAATAACTAATGAATATTAATTAGGAAGGGTGCACCACCCACGCACACAATTGGGAAATGAAAACTAGAGAGTCTATTATAGCCAAAGAAGCAACAAAAAGAGATACAAATGTAGACATCTGCAAAGAAAGGAAGAAGTTAAGGTTGAAAATGAAAAATATCATTGTGCAGTTTATGAATTATTGGTATCAGGATTTGATGTGAAAGATTGATCCCTTGCAATAGGTTCAGTATCAATACTAATGGTATCATCTGATGGAGAAGGAGTACCTGAATTCTTTAATAATAAATAAACACATGATTTATTGACTAACCTTCTAAATGAGGCCGTTTGGAATCTCCATTATTATTATTCTCGTCATTTAAAATCCTTTTACTACCCTGAGAAAGGTGTATGAGAAGTAACAAAAAAGTTTTAAAAACTCATCAATTTAAACTAATATTCCTAACTGGTAGAGAAGGTGGTGGCATTTGATGTTTGTCTGCAGTTTCCACCATCATCTGATGAGCTTTCCTTCTCATATCTTCATCCTTCAAACAATAAAAGGTAAAGGATAATTAATATACATCTCCCTCTCTTACTTTAAGCCAGGTGTGTTCCAGTGCTTGTGCTGTAGTCCATCTCTTGCTTGAATCCACTGTC